GGGTGCCTCACCCGTCGCATGCTCTACAAGCCATTCCAGCGACCAGAAACAGTGTCTCCTTATGCGCGAGATCAGCGAGATTTTTGCGCAGAAAAGAAGCGGCACCACGGCCATCGCACTGTTTTTCCGCTATTCATTAGCAGAATTTGGGAAACGCATTCGCAGGCCGTCCGACCACGGTGGCGTCCGTAATGCTGGGATACTTGACCGGGAAATTATCAGCACAACAATGGAGAAGTAGACTGAATTCGAATATGCTGACAATCGACTCGAATTGTAGGGCGTTCACAAGACTTGAAGAGAACCGTGACCGCCAGCACATTTCAATCCGGCGTGGCTAAGCTATCGTGATGCCGCGGCCGCGTCACCGTCTGGCAGCAGAGTATGTTCCTGATCCACGTCGTCGGTCTCCCCTGAGCCCGAGCCCCGAATTCGTTATGATAATATAGAAACCGATGTTATCAGCGGTTACGGAGAGGCGTGGGAAGAGCATGCCCGTCGTCCGGTAAATCGGGCAATACGCATGCGGATACGAAAGGGCCGTACCATTGTCCGGTAAATCGGGCGATATGCATGCAGATACAAAGGGCCGTACCGTCGTCCGGTAAACCGGGCAATATCTACAGTGATGCCAGTGCTATCTAACCGGGATAATCTTGAGGATGCCAGAGCGGAAGTATGGCGATTAGCGAGAAGCTAATTGAATAGTCTCCGACGATCTGTACAGGCGAGTCAAGACTGGTAATGACCCCAGCATACGTGGTCGTACTAGATGGACAGACATCGGGAGGAGATAGCGAAGCGTGGCGTATCACGTGCTGATTTCCAAGCCCTTGAGGATCTATGGTCTGGATTTCACTACGTGGCGCACATCGCTGTAGCCTTTGGAGGTCGACTGGCGTGAAATACCACATAGAAAGCAGCAACCCGATCGATTAACTTCAACCAATCCGGCTGTCAGGTGTGCTATCCGCATCGTTCGGCTTGATGTCTCGAGGGAATCCGTCTACAGGCTGTCTTGTAACATTGGGCGAGCGTAAATGTCGTGCCGTACAGTAGACCCGCATTCGCGCCAATAATTTGTGCCAGTCACCTAGGGACGGTGAGCCTTTCGAAAGATTACGTGCACACTGCTGACATCCACACAAATTCCGCTGACGTAGTAGATATAAACGGTAATTACATGATAACCGATAATCCGCTTGAGAAAGCTCCTGTCATTTAGGCGCTGGTCAGGAGTACTAGTCTGCGTAGTTCTTGTCTTCTCTCTGCACTCTGGAACCGCGTCTAGCCTAACACTCAATTGATGACTGGGCGCCGAAGCAGTGCAGCATGTGGCTCCTCCATAAACGTACCATGGAAAGAAGAGGACCCTAGACTGAGAGCTGACGGAGGTGCGTCTTCCGCAGCGGGGACTCTGTCCTAGTAAACCTTATACTACCATCGCGAGCTGCACCTTTCTCGTGTTCCGCCATGAACAGGAACGTGAAACCGCCTTCGGGGGGCCGCCGCTTGAAATCGGACCCCCTCCTGGCCGCCCTCCAACTTCCCGCAAATGAGTCCCGGCAGGAGCGCCGGGGCAGGCTGCGCGCCGAGCAGGAGTCAAAAAAGCACAGCAAAACTATAAACAAAATGCTCCGCGACACCGAACGCCAAAACCGCAGGCAAAAATTGGTCAAAGTCCTCCTGCTCGGCCAAAGCGAGAGCGGGAAGAGCGCTATCATGAAACGTGAGTCGCGACTCTCCGAAAACCAGTGAAATCTGTCTTTTTGAGCATGTTATCCGGGATATCTACCTCCTCGGTATGTGGGAGAGCGCTCGATATTCTGCTATGTGCTGCGGGGTCTCGACCAGCCTCAGCTCCTCCCGCCGAGTACATCCAGAGACGTGACACATCCGCTTTCTTATTATCATGGCGGTGTCGAGTTGTGCAAGACCTCTATGTCGCCACCTGTCGGGGCCTAACTCATTGGTGCGATGCCGGGACTACATGTACTGAACGCCTGACCGCAGAGTTTCAACTGCTGCACCACCCCCAAACTTTTGACGCAGAGCGCATCTCCTGGCGATTTGTCATCTATCTGAACCTGCTCCGTTCCGTGCGAAGGTAAGCATGCGCCGCTACGATCTCCGTCTCTCACGGTGAGCACGCCCAGGCTGACCTACGCACGCGGGGCTCCACAGGATCCTCGACGCAATCTCGCCAGAGGCGGACGCCGCGCACAGT